ACTCGAAAATCGCCGAAAAGTGGCAAGGGTATATCTACAGTCTTCAAAATGAATGACTCAAATTGCTTATAATTTAACAAAAATAGCGTTCTCATTTGAGCGTAATATTTCTGGTAGACAGTTCGAAATTATTATTCCATCCACAAAATCTAGGTACCTCGAGTAATTCAATGACAGGTGAAAGAGATGATTCCAAATAAGTATATATGATTTTTAGGATATCAAGATATGTGTTCTTCTTCTTCTTCTCTGCACAGATGGGCGGGTGCGTAGACCCCTGCACTCAGGCCTCTTCAGTCGGGCCCATTGTGCGCCCACTTGTCCTGTGAATCAGCTGGGCATGCCGATTTCTTTCGACGAATTTCAGCAGCTTCCTCAGCTGAGTCACTTTCACATCCTTTGGGTGCAGTACAATGCTCCCAAAGGCATCTTTCCTCTGATGCACCAGCGCGGGGCATTCAGTGAGTATGTGTGATGATGTTTTATCATCCTCCAAGCACCATCTGCAGATGGGATCATCTTTGATCCCTATGAGTTCTAGGTGCCTGTTGAGGTGGTTGTGCCCAGTTAAGAGCCCAACTACCATCTTGAGATCCCTACTATTAAGTGACAGGATCTCTCTCGTGGGCCTTTTTGAAGGTTCCTTTATATGGAGCTTTGATTGTCTCATTCCTGGTGTGTCCCGCCATGTTTCAAGGAACTGCCTCTGTAGCGTTTCCTTCATGAAGGACATAGCCGTACTATTGGGTATTCCCAATATCGGTTCTGGTCCAATGGGTGTCGTTCCTGAACCGATCTTGGCTAGTCTGTCTGCCTCCTCGTTCCCCGGGATACCAGAATCCAGGTCCTGGAACCCACATGAGGCTGACTTTCCTAGTTTTTGCCATATTTTCTAAGGCACTTCTACACTCGGACACCAATCAAGATATGTGTTATTTGAAGTTTACGGTTCTTAAGGTTTCTGTCGTTTTTGTATACAATAGCAACCGGTCAAAACCGGTCAAAACCAATCGTATTTGTCATTGTGATCAGTCACGTGACATTAACGACCGGTCGGTCACGTCACAAAGGAATCATTGTTTCAAAATGACTAACAAAATGATATATTTGTACTCCCCCTGATTCATGAGAGAAGAAAATGCATTATTCTCCTAATACACAAAAATGTTTTTGTTCAAGCATGACCGCATTGCAAACAAGTCAAAAATACCAGGTATGCTGACACCTTTCATAAACACATTATAGAACAAACATTTCTGACCTTCAGTCAACGTTGAAAATATAGTTATTTAGGAATTAACAAATTTTGAGTACTATAAGCGTTGAAATTGTAAGATCGTAACATGATCCTAACACAAAGTATGTTTTGTACAAATTTCGTATCTTGGGTTCCGAAGGTTCGACGTTAATTTATTTGACTCCTTGAATCATTTTATTCAAGCACAGCCCTATAACTTCGGGACATTTTGAGGTTGATTCTAATGGTGCGTGAGTTATTATGACAGTTCTTTGAATAACGCACGTATGTTTTGGCCTGTTAGTCTCGCTGTTAAACCAGTCACCAACCTGAATTTCGGATTTCATCCGTCAGAGTCAGAGGTCATAGCTGGATATCATTTGTTTTTATATGACCTTTCGCGCGCTCGGGAAGACTGAAAATTCATTGGGAAGCCTAGGTTTTCTTTGAGAAGCATGGGTTTTCTTTGAGACGCCTGGGTTTTCTTCGGGAAGCCTTTGAAATGTTCCGGGGGTTCTTTTGGGAACCTCGGTTTTCTGGGTTTTCTTTGGGATTCCTGGGGTTCTTTTGGGAGCATGGGTATCTTTTTAAAAGTCTGGGACTTTTTTGGAAAGTGTGTGAATTATTTAGGGAACATTGCACGTACCTAGGGAGCATAGGGTTAAAATTATTTTTGAAATTCTAAAAGTCATAAGTTGTTGAGAATTCTTCCATTGGCAAAGAATTCCTAAGCTTCGCCGTTCTGTAGACGAACGAGGTTTGGTAGAGTGTTGTTCGACATTTTCCAAGGCTAAGAACGAAAGGGATGTGCTGACTGGGCCTGTCGAGTTCGGGAATAACTTGTATATGATATCCAGTCACTTTTTGGAAAATGCGGAAATTCTTGAAATACTTTGAGGATCATTAGGGTGTGCTTCTAATCCGAGGATAAATGCATTGTTTGCCACTTGGTAAACAGTGTGAATCATCTGTAACACAGGTAACGGTTACCATTTATACTTGAACAATAAAAAATTTAAGATATACGTACCTACATATTTACTAACAACAGGCGTTATCTATTTATGAGGCATAGTGGTTGGCAATTTGTGTCGAATAAAAACAAAAATTGTCGTTTCGTGAATATAATATCTACATATTTAAAGTAATACATAGGCAACGTACTATTAAAATTATTAAAAGGTGCCCTCATTATGCCACACATCGTAATTGTTTACACCAACCTCTCGATAAAGCAAATAACATAACTCATTAATTTGACTGCTATATATTAGCACCAGGGTCATTGTATTAAATTCCTCATTCGCGGTTATCTCGCGCTTATTCTTGGATTTTGAACAAGGATAAGAAATATGTGCAAAGACAGAATTCGAATTACTTTCACTGAATCTGAAGCGTTTGAATGCATCAGAAGATTTTGTCACAATAAATTTCGCGTAATGAGGGACAATACCTACTATAAAAATCAAATTCGTGTTCTGTTTCGTTAAATTATCATTTTATTGTAGTACATGAAAAACAAATGAGTTTTTGCATTAGGTGTGTTCTCGGGTGTTTTTTTATATGTTGGGCCATAAGTGCGCCTCTTCTTTTTGTTTACTTGTTCAAATTCATTTTTCGAGAATCTTCCCGACTGAATGCTTTTCCTCCAAGATGTCAGTCCAGGTCAATTTTTATCAAGCATTTTATGTCTGCTACGGATATATTTTTTCCTGAATTGCATTTGGCGAAGAATATGACTGCACTTGTGTAGCAGTTGTTAATTGGCTAAGTCTAAGTGTAAGATTAATGCACGAGAATATGCATTACTTCAGTCAAGTCACTGTTCGGATTATTGATTGCAATTTCTGAAATTCGCCTTCAAAATAGTCGCTTCACGTATATGAACAGGGGATCAAACGGTCCTTCAGTGAATCCTATTTTTTAGGTACCGCCTGATTTTTCTCCTTCAATATTCATTGGCATATTTATTCCTACTTTGTTCGATATCTTGAGTGAAATTATCACTGATTCTGTTAGACTCGATGCAGGAGATATTATCCCTCCTACTCGTGACCAAATCTTCTACATCTAGACGCATCAATATTTAGCACTTGGTGAGTGACGAGGTGACTGGTATCCCCTTATGCAGGAGAGAATGTCGAGCCATTACTGGCAAACCGTGAGACTTTGTCTTTCGTGATTCATAGCATCGTACCACAGCCAGCTCTATCAGCCGGCATGGATATGGTCGTACCATAGGAGACATTGCCAATACGGCGCCAGGCTTCCAATCCCCTGAAGCTTCGATCGACTGATGCCCAGAGAAAAATTGAGATTCATCCGTAACCACCATAAGCTGCGATAAAGACTGAAACTGCCACTTCGTATGGTTCGTTCACGTAAAATGTGTGAGGTTGAGCATTTCTGTGACGTTCTGATGGTATTGATGTTATGTAGGTATAGTAGGTATATCCAAAGTCAATTGGAGCGTCTCAAGTCGCGCGAGCACTCACATCGAAAGAAACTTCAATTGACTTTGGATAGACTATACTAGGTAGATACTAGATAGGTAGGTAAGTAGCGGTGAGTAGGTAGTAGAAACAAAATGAAAACTGCTCCTCGATCCTCATTGTGGAGCTGACTCTCGCACTTACCAAGTACTACTACCAATAATAATATAGAAAAATTGTCGATATTAAATTCAATACACTCACGTATAATCTCGTGTAAAATGATTTCTCGAATGATTGAATGGTCATTTGAATTAGTACCACATCATGATTACCTCCTGTTGGCTATAGGTAGTAGGTACACTGCTACCCAAATAAATCGTAACGACTCTTGAGCTATGTTGGTATACTCCTCAAGCCCATGTACTATTCATCGTTTCTTTTTTTGTGTGTATAATACTACTTATTTATATATTTTCACGCACCTATTCCCCCTTTGCGTTATTCATTTGAATGGATTCCCAATTATGTTTTTCTACAAACTATTGATTATAGAAATATTTATTGACTTTGAACAGATTTTCTTCGAATTTTCTTTTAATTGATGTCTTGTCTCAGTCATTTCATACTTCCATATTTTATAATAAATAATACCGTCGCAGTCGTGCTTTGTAATAAAGATATATACAGTAGTCCGTGTGCAGCTGATAATTCGATGAAATCGTCACACCAGTCGTTACAATTTATTTGGGCAGCAGTGTACATACATATACCTTCATACGAGTTTTCAAAACTAATGAATTAGGTAAGTTACTGTACCTCAAGCTGTACCCATATTTCATATAGGTATAAATCGAGGAATGAAAAAATATAATTTTTATTTTCTCCACTTATTTTCCAGATTATATTTTCTATAGTCTCGGTTATTTCTCGTTGGAGAACCTTCGTCTCGTACCCACGTTCCTACCGAGGATCGTACCTACCTAGCTATTATATAGGACATCTCAGCTATAGGAATGAGGTAGGTACGGGTAGGTAAGTACAGTCATCTTCAGAAAACATGTCGCACATGGACGATTATAGTATTCTTAATAACTATCTGCAATAAGAGCGCTGACACCGTCCAACCGCGACATGATCTCTAAAGACGACTGTACATTGGTTCAAATCATGAGATGATTTCGAGGATGATTCAAAGCCTAAGCGACGGATTGAGAAATACTCTGAAAAACAAGAATAATACAAAACCAAAATACATTCCAAGAGCTTGTACCGCCGACACTGACCCAGGAGCTTGAAAGACAAGGACAAAACACATAACAACCACTTACCGCTGCAGAGGGATGCCTTGAAGTAGCTGGATACATTTTGCCACTACTTATTAGCTTCAATATTCCGAACTATAAATTAGAAACGAAAATCGATAAGACACTACAGCTACCCAACGACACAACTATTTCCAATTCCATCATAGAGAACCGACACAGTGGAACAAAACAATCGAAAGGTGTATAACCTCAAAAACCGATTCTCGCTCGCTGACGCAGTTCATTAAATAAAATCACTGAAACTGAACGCCTCAACACAATTTCAATGTTTACCAGATAGCCAACATAATATTTAAGAGTTTCCCGAGAGAGTTTTTCAATTATTTCCACTAGGAAATGAACAAAACACAAACAAACATATTGCACCCACCAAACGTGAATCAAACCAAACTGTTTTACTCATCTGCCGAAGGAGAAATGCACCACGTGGTAGTTCGCACCATACGTCAGTGGATTCTAGGCCAATAGGGAGCGTCAATTCTGTTGGGGAACGCCTATTCGGAGTTGACAGCAGATATCAAGTCCACGTTGACTACCGCAATGTTGCCCAGTGAAATAAAAATTCTTGCAAACGAGTGATTTTACAGCTTTGTCAGGCGTTTCGACATGAGCGGTGTTGTCCATGTGACCATTGAACCAGAAATACTGGGAAATAGGCAATCATGATCACTGGCTTATTTAGCGAAGCATAATGTAGAATGATGGAAATATCAGAGTGTGTGTGAACAGTTGGCCAGGGTTGGGATTGTTGTTACAATTGTAATATTTCTATTACAATCGCGTCTCAGTTATTACGGTATTACTACATTGACGAAAACAGCCAATATCTATTACACTTTGACTGGAGGTAGTAATTCAAGTTTTAGGGCAACTTCAGGAAAAATCAGCAACTTTAGTGGGGTAATTTTTTCAAACTTGTGTTTTGTGTTCTGTAACTGAGTTTATTTCTTCTTATGATAGATAGTTTTGTCAATTTTCTTACGAAGGATTTTCACAATTCCGAACCTAAAAACCAAGACATAATAACTCACCTAATAATCTGATAATACCGATTTTATTTGGTGACGACTCAAAGCGAGGTATAAAAAAATTAACGAGTAAAATATAAATACTGTCTCTAGGTTATTTTCATCTTATAGAAATGAGGAGAGAAAATCCCAAAAAATCTGGAATAATGAAAGTAAAATATATGTTATGTTCTGAAACTTATTCTGTTTTTGGAGATCATGATGATTTGAGATTTTCATTATTCTCATTTTTCGCTCGACTAGTATCCACGTATCTATTTTGTCCTTCATATATGAAATGTAAAATCCCAAAAAATTATTCTTACTAGAAATACAATGTTTTAAGTTGAAAATTGAATATTCATCTTGTCATATAAAAGCTAAACGTTTTGTGAGACTGAGTTAATTCATTTAGCTTTTTCAGTTCCTATTTTATTCTCAGATTTTATTTTTTGTGGAATTGAGTCTGTGTTGTTTTTCATTTTTTCTGGACAGTCCAAAATTCTAAGGTACATTATTGTAACCAAAGAATCTCCTCTTGTCAAATTATAATAGAAAATTTCAAATTTGCCGCGCATTGTTTCAAATTTATTACATTCTATTACATTTTGCTACCAAGATTCAGTGCAAACTGACACTAACGAAATCCCAACCCTTGGACGTTGAACACCAATCTGAATTACATAATTAGGTGCGATATGATGTGGAACAAATGATGTGAAATGTAAACAAGGAAATTGAACTAATATCTGCAATATTTGTGAATGGTCATTGAAACTTGAACGATAGCCGATACTCGAACTTAAAATGCAACATTACTTATATATATTCATAGACCCGGCGCAGCCGGTGAGCCGGTGCTAATTAATAGTTTAATTGAATCAATTAGGTGTATCATTAGTCCTTAATTTTCTGGACTTTAGTCACGGGCTGAACAGGTACAGGGTTTCAGGTACGGTGAGTGATGGGTAGGTAAGTAAAGTTTTTCAGTATTTCCAAAGTAAATTGGAGCAGCTCCCGCAAAAATCATTCGGCGCCTGCGGCGCGCTACCGGTCAGTTTGAAGTTCAAAAGGACCGGCAGAAAGTGGTGACGATTCCATCATGATGTTTCATTAGTTCAATGTGTTTTATATGGTTTGGATCATTTGGTTAGATACATCAGAATATGTGTTAGGTACCGTAGAATGTTGATACTTGGAACTGCGAGGTAAATTGGAACAAAACTTCATATTTTCAAATTACCCCTTGAAATCTACAGGTGATTGCATTTTGAAACATCGTATTGTGCATAGTTGTTCAGTGTATGGTTATAATATTACTAACTACACACTGTTTTTACCACTATATATAACCAAATCGGGCAAATCGATTCTTTTACATATCGACACGTGTTTCGCTAACGATGTTAGCATTTCCAGGTGAAAATTAAAACAGTTTTAATCTTCTCCTGATGTGTCATCGTGCCAAAGGTAGTCTTCGATATATAATACTACTCGATTAAAAATACCCAGACAGCACCAGATATTCCATGAATCTCCCTATCATATTCCTTTTGGAATATTGGAATATTCTAGAAATAATCTGGAATATTCCGGAATATCTGTGGAATATTCTCTAAATATGCGAATGGGAATTCCTCAGATATTCATAGAATATATCCAAAAGAATATTCCATGTTGAATATTCCTGGAATATTCCAATAAACATATTCTAAAATAAAAAAAGTGACCCAAGTAGGGATCGAACTCGTGACCTCAAGACTATCAGACCAAAACTTGAATTCATTTATTCGTTGACACAGTTTTTACAATACAACACATATAACATCAACATATTTGTGTATAATGGGCTTGACATATCTGTGAGTATGACTGAACGTCCCTCCGCAGTCTCAGAGGTGGCTGGTGTTAGCCAAGGAATATGAGAGGATATGTGAGGTGTTCGTCGCAGTGACCTATCTCCTAGGGCTAGGCCCTTTATACAGGTAATCTCGCTGGTGGTACCCATAGGGTGGGGAAGCTGCTCGTGCGTGATCAGAGTGGAAAGGGTTGCTGAGTCGTTGGAGGAAAAATAAAATTAAAATAAAATAAAAAACCTCCTTCTTGTTTGTCTCGGGCAGTTGTGCGCATGCGTTTCCACATGGGCACTTCTGACCGAGTTCAGTGTATTTTACGACACTATGTTATTTTCGTGCTTGGGAGATAGTGCTGTCTAGAGTCTCCTCGGTGGCTCGGACATGTCCGAGCACCCGGGGATGTTCCCGACTATAGATTATCAGGCTCCCTAAAAACATCGGTTGATGCATATATCAGTCCGTGTTTTTTATGGATGTTATGGTGTTGTCTGACTGTTGTCATATTCCGGGTAAGGTCACTTCCAGCGATGTGGTATTTGTAAAATCTGTTAGAGATTTTCAAGATGTATTCGTCGATTCTCGGCAAATTACCACATCTCTCGTGGAGATCTGCCACCCGAGAGTATCTATCACCATTAGTGATAATACGGAGTACTTTGTTCTGCAGCACCTGTAACCTATTCATATGAGTAGGTGAGATGCTGCAGAACACTGGACACGCGTATGTCATCACTGGCCTAATGACCTGCTTGTATACCAGGACCTTATTCTCCTGCGAGAGAGCTGAGGTCCTGGATATCAAGGGGTACATCTTTTTGATGGCATTTTGGGTTTTCTGGATGAGGTAGTTTGTATTCTTTCTCAGACTCATACGGGTGTCCAATTTGACTCCCAGGTATTTCACGGTGGTCGTGTCTGCCACCTCAACCCCTTTCACGGTCAAAGGTCTGCTCAGTCGGGAGTTGTTGACTTTTTGTGGAAATTGATGACCTCGGTCTTTGCGCTGTTTATGCAGATCTTTGACTCGTCAAAGTACGGTATGATTCCCCTGTCCAGATGAATCTGGATCTGTGCCCTGGCGATATTCGAGTCGTCCGAGTGAGCATATATTGCCGTATCGTCGGCATACAATGCTGTACTCGTCCGCTCGAATACAGGGAAATCATGCGTGTATAGGGTATATAACAGAGGTGAAAGGCACGACCCCTGCGGAACACCTGCCTCGAGTGGAAAATCTCCCGATATACTTTCGTTGACCTTGACCCGGATTTTCCTGTTGCTGATATATGCATCGATAATCTTAATGATAAAAATCGGCATTCTTGCCTTATGCAGTTTGGACATTAGACCCTCGTGCCAGACGGTGTCGAATGCCTTCTCTACGTCCATCATGACCATGACGGTGTTCTTGTTGTTGTTGCTGGCCTCTTTAACCTCGTGAACAATTCGGGCCACTTGGGACACTGTGCTGTGCCCCTTGCGGAACCCGAACTGTTCCTTTGGTATGAGGTCCAGCTTATTAGTGTGGTGTGTGATGAGTCGTAAGAGGACTCTATCCACGACCTTGGCCACGGCGCTAAGCAGTGATATGGGGCGGTAGCCATTGGTGGACTTAGGGTCCTTGCCCTGTTTTGGGATAGGTACCACAAGCCCAGTCTTGAGGCATTCTGGGTAGTGCTGGCATTTGATGATAGCGTTTATAATGTAATATAGTTGTACAATTGCTTTGCGCGACATGTTTTTTAAGAGAACCACGTCAAGTCCATCAGGCCCTGGGGCTTTGTTGATATTCATATACCTAATGATTTCATTGATTTCTTTTGGGGATGTGATGCTTTTCCCCAGGGCTTGTCGCGGGAGCAGGATGTCCGGCGATGATCTTATCTGCTCTGCTGTTGCCACCATGTCCTCCTGGACCGCACCTATTGGCCTTTTGTCAATTTTAGAGATTTTTTGAAAGTGTTTCCCAAGCACTATCGCCTTCTCCAGATCTGACACCGCTTCCTCGCGCCCATACTCCAGGGTAGATGGGTGTGAATTTCTTCTTTAACCTTTTTGTCATTATCCATAGAGTATTGTCGCGAGGGTCCAGACTCTCCAGCTTGGCTCTCCAGGAGGAGTTCCTGAACTCACGAATTTGGTTTTCAATTTCATTACAAATTTTTTTGAAGGCGCCTCTGGTTTCCGGGGTTTTAAGCCGTTGCCAGCGACGCCTCAGGACCTTCTTTTCTGCTATGAGTTCAAGAACTTCCTCCGGGAGTTCGTCCTTGTTGGAGTCAATGCTGACCAGTCGCGTGGTGGCATCTCTGGCCATCGTGATGCTTTGGATGAGCTTTTCCATTTCTTGATTTATCTCTGTCTTCAGGATGTTACTTTTAATTGTGGTTCTTTGGTCGAGCTGAGCTCTGAACATCCGCCAGTTTGTGTTCTTGTAATCATATATTTTCTTAATGATTTCAGGTGGTTTTTGTCCGAACTCGAATAAAACTGGCAGATGGTCAGAGCTCAGCTCGTCCACCACCTCTAGCTCAGAGATGTCCACCATGTTTTTGAACAGCACTATGTCTAAAACTGTCGGTGTCATTCCATTGATGGGATAGTGCGTGGGAGTGTTAGGAAAGTCCAGGTTGACATTGGCGGCTTGCAGATATGCCTTCAACGTACGCCCGTTGTAGTTGTTCGTGACCTGGTTCCCCCAGTCCGCATGTCGCGCATTAAAATCGCCCCCGATTATCACCTTATTGCCAGCACTAACCAGTGCCTCCAGGTCTTGTTCAGTGAGCTTATTTCTGGGCCTGTTGTACACTGAGAAAATAATCTCCCCACTCCGCAGTCTCACCCCTGCATGCTCGATTGAGGTTTGCCTTGGTGGGACAACGGTGTGGGGGATATTGTTCTTAATTAGAATGGCTACTCCCCCCCATCTATCTGTATTAGGCCGATCGACCCTGACCGTGGTAAAGCCTCTTACTCTGAATTCATGATCATGATGGAGCTTGGTCTCGGACAAAAGTATAATGTCCAACCTGCGGCGGTATATAAAATTAACAAGTGACGGCATCTTGTTATTGAGGCCGTTAATGTTAATCATACATACCTTAAGGCCGATTCGTACCATTAATATTGTAGTTACCGATATTCTTAGAGAACCTGGTCACTATTTCAACTATCTCCCAAGGGTTTGTTTCCCCTCCGATCGCGTCGTTCAGGTCCCGCACGCATCTGAACACCTCAGTGAGATTTACCTTTTGCTCTAGGAGCTCTGTCTCTGCGGCGATACTCGTTATCGTCTCTATTCCTCTGCCAACCCCAGGTCCTCTCTGCGCGCTTGTGGTGGGGCGTGCAGGCGCTCCTCTTCTACTGGGCTGTCTGGCCTCTCTGTTCTGCTCCGGGGCACCAGTGGAATCCTCCTGCTGTCCTAGTTCTACTAGCATGGCCTCCCTTTCCATCCTTCTCCTTTCCCAAGCATTCGTGCTGGGGGGCGGGGCTGCGGTATAGGTCTGTCCACCTGGCCGCTTGTTTTTATTTTTATTGATGACTTCCAGCCTCTTTATGTAGCTAATGCACGAACTGTAGTTGGCCGGATGGGCTTCACCACAGATCGCGCATTTCGCTGGCTCTTGGTTGGGTAATTTGCAGTCAGCCGTGGGGTGGCCACCTGCACATTTCAAACATTTGTAATCTCGATTACAGTTGCTGGTGGCGTGGCCCCACAGCTGACAGCGTTTACACTGTGTGACTGCCCGATTGTTCCTCCTCAGCTCCCAAGTGATCCTGACTGACAATTAAGTCCTCACTTTATCACTTAGTAGCCGAAGAGTAACAATCGGGTCTACTACTACCAGGTAGAGAGGCCTATACCGCGTGTTAAGCCTGTAGACCTCCTTGACCTTGATTTTATGTTCTTGTTCCATTTCTTCAATGATCTCGGAGGGCTCAGGCTCAAAGTCCAGGCCCCTCAGCACGAATGCGTGTGTTTTGTCCTTCTTGAGGGCATATGTATAGAAGGATACCTCGTCTTCCTTGAGCCTCCTTTTGACATTTTCGAAATCCTCAGTAGATTCCGTGTATAGCAAGGTGCTTTCATTTCCATACTTGAAATAGAATTTTTTCACTGTGAGAGACTTAATGAGGGGGATGATTTCCTTTCGGTCTCTCAGGATGCCGTCAAAGATGATGGGTGGGGGTTTTTCACCTTTTTTTGTTTGTGGTGGCTGAGAGTTCACGTTTTTGGCCTTTGGTTTCCTAGATGTTACAGCTTTACTTTGTGATTGTTTGTTTATCAGACCAACGCCTTGACCACTAGGCCAGTAATCGAATTGAATGATGTTGTACATATCAATTTCTTGTGAGAGCGTTGTTCGAAATCGGATCATGAACACTTTTTGTTTCAAAATCCCCTTACATCTAATTTTGATGTTCGATACTCACAACTCTGAAATAATGATATGGGTATTTATGTGTTGAGAAACATAGGAATATTCATAGAATATTTCATGAATATACACCTCAGAATATTCAGTTGGGAATATTTCATGAATATACCGCACAAAATATTCAGTTGAGAATATTTCATGAATATACCCCGCAGAACATTCAGTTGGGAATATTTCATGAATATACAAAAGAGAATATTCATTTGGGAATATTCCTGGAAAATTCATACCTGAATATTCCCTGAACATATCCGACTATTCACTTTGGAATATTCCTTCTAGATGTTCCAGAGGCATGTATATATTCTAGGAATAATCGATGGATATTCGGAATATACTCCTCCTTTTTAGCATATTTAGAAAATATTCTAGGAATATCCAGTGCTGTCTGGGTACGTGGAGTTTGAATATTGTTTCCGGAATGTTGTTTTTCATATGGAAACTACAAGCAGCGATATGACAGAAAAAAAATCGTTCGATATCACTGCTCAACTTTGAACAGTGTTGCCAATATTTCTTTTTTCATCACGAAAGTCAGAGTTGAAAAAAATCACCGAACACTTGGAACAGGCGCGAATGATTGTACTTACCGGTTGGTGACCATAATAGCTACCTGATAAGACCTTCCCTCCATCCACCACCCCAAACCAACCCCCTACAGACTTCTAAAAAGCCTTTGATAGAGTTAACCATATAGTCTGTTACTTGCAAAACTTGAAGCTTTGGGTATAGAGGCGAATATTCTAAGTTGGATCAGAAGCTATCTCACTAGTATAGTCCAATATGTGAAATATGGGAGCTCAGTTTCACAACAAATCGAAGTACCATCAGGTGTACCACAGGGATCCCATATGGGACCTCTCGTATTTAATCTGTTTGTCAATGACCTCTCTGATGTCATCATCAACAGTTCCTTCTTGATGTTTGCCGATGACATGAAGATGTTTAGAACGGTTCAATGCATTTCTGATGCTGAGAGTTTGCAGCTCGATCTAAATAATTTTTCCAGATGGTGCCATATCAATTTATCAAAACTGAATTCGAATAAATGTCAAAAGATAACATTTTCACGAAGCCATGATGCTATTGATCATATTTACAGAGTTAATGATACTAATCTATCAGTAACCAATACAATCAAAGACTTAGGAGTAATATTCGAGTCGAAAATGACCTTCAACATCACATAATAGAAACATCATCTCGTGCTCGTAAAATGCTAGGCTTCTCCCTCCGTTCTGCAAAAGAACTATCTATTGTGCACAGGTGAGGTCTATTCTTGAATATAATCTCTTATATATACTCTTTGAAATAATTCATTTAATGGATTACCTAATCACAAAACTGACTCCAGATTGATTTAGATAACACTAAAATAAATACCTATGTAACTGTTTTCCTGTTCCAAGGTTTCAAATCTGCGGGTAACTTGGAACATTGATATTTTTTCTGTGACGGGAAAAACGTTTGGAATTTCATCTCTGTTGGCAGGTTATAAAATGTCACTTTTCATAAATTACTTTTTTCCCGTGGGAAAAAAGTGAGTACTTTTTTCCCGGATATACCCAGACAGCACTGGATATTCCTAGAATATTCTCTAAATATGCTAAAAAGGAGGAGTATATTCCGAATATTCATCGACTATTCCTGGAATATATACATGCCCCCGGAACATCTAGAAGGAATATTCCAAAGTGATGTTCAGGGAATATTCAGGTATGAATTTTCCAGGAATATTCCCAAATGAATATTCTCTCTTGTATATTCATGAAATATTCCCAACTGAATGTTCTGTGGGGTATATTCATGGAATATTCTCAACTGAATATTCTGTGCGGTATATTCATGAAATATTCTCAACTGAATATTCTGTGGTGTATATTCATGAAATATTCCATGAATATTCCTATGTTTCTCAACACATAAATACCCATCATTATTTCAGAGTTGTGAGTATTGAACATCAAAATTAGATGTAAGGGGATTTTGAAACAAAAAGTGTTTATGATCCGATTTCGAACAAAGCTCTCACAAGAAATTGATATGTATAACAATATTCAATTCGATTACTGGCCTAGTGGTTAAGGCGTTGCTCTGATAGTCTTGAGGTCACGAGTTCGATCCCTACTTGGGTCACTTTTTTTCATTTTTGAATATGTTTATTGGAATATTTCAGGAACATTCAACATAGAATATTCTTTTGGGTATATTCTATGATTATCTGAGGAATTCCCATTCGCATATTTAGAGAATATTCCACAGATATTCCGGAATATTCCAGATTATTTCTAGAATATTCCAATATTCCAGAAAGAATATGATAGGGAGATTCATGGAATATCTGGTGCTGTCTGGGTATATCACATGAATATATATATACTGTTGATGGCTTTTGTTGTGCTATAGTTCCGAAAGATGAGTCAATAATACCGTCTCCGAGAAAGAACTGCAAGTCCTTTTATCTTCCATTCGACTTCGCGGTTACGTATATTACTAAACAACCACTAAATTCGCAATTTGTTGAAATCAAATCACTGAATTAGATTGACAAAAGTGACATCAGATATTTGATTACTTCAAAAGAATGATGAAGATGTCTACAACGCAGGTGTCCCTACTGTTAAAAACTTAAAATTTCACGTCGATAATTTTCAGTTTTCAAAATAATGTAATATCTTCTCAATATTGATTCGTCCTTTCTTCTGTCAGAAAAAAAATAGTGTATTATTCACGGAAAAAATATTAGATTTTAGCTCACGGTTTTTTGTCTCCCACCGCTACGCGTCGGGAGGCAACCACGAGGCAACACAACCTGGATTAATATTCGTTTAATTATATATAATCATACATCTTTCAAGATAGGGAAGATTCCCTACCAAGAACAATAACTTTGCTACGTGTATTTGAATCTGAAAAATGTTCCAAGTTTCACCATTCTTAGTCTAAGAGCTCGTGAACCTTTTATATAACGGTTTGTCTGTAAGGCTAAAAATTTGTATAGTGATGGATCAAAAGGTTAAGTAAGAAAACCATGACCTGGCAGGCCTCACCCTTGCACGTCACCATCTCCTATATTTTTTAAAATTATTAAAAAATTTAACTTGGCCCTGTAAACCTGTAATTTTATCATGATGTTATTTAGATATTGTAGAATGAAGAAAAAAATTGACAGGCGATTTTGATGAGCAGAAGAGGGTGCCAGGCCAGGCGAGTCCAAAAGTGGAGGAAATATAATTTGCTGACCAAAATTAGAGCTTGTTGACCGGACATTTCGCTTGATTTTTATAATAAAGTTATATCAATGGATACATTGTTGTTACTTGTAAAATAATTCCAATTCACCCCCTCAGAAGGGTGGTTTATTCTAGCGGTTTTTCATAAATCCTTACTGAGCGAGCATTTCTGGTTAGAAGTTTTGTTTCAAATTACATATTTGAACATCTTACATGATTACCTACTTACCTAGTTGCCATTCGAATAACAATCTTGATCTAGTCCTTAAGAGGGGTAGATTATCCCTGATGTTTTTCAAAAATCTTTGCTGACCGAGCATTTCTGGTTTGAATTTTCGCTTCAAATTACATATTTGCAGATCTTATATGGATATCCAGTTGACACCAAGGCAATAATTTCAATCCACTTCTTAATCCAAAACTTATTGCAGCTACGTCGCATAGATGAAACTTGAGTGGGACAAAATAACATCCCTCTGACATTGCAGCGACGTTGTTTACTTTTCTAAATATAGAAAAATTGCCGAAAAAATATGCTTTTTGTTGATTTTGATAAATAAAATGTGTCATTGAAGTAGGTATATAAAGTGTCCAGTAATGAAAAAAGAAGGTGGCAAAAGAAGCTGAAATTTCGAACTTTTTTGTGGAATAGAAGTAGGTAACAAAAAATATTTTCAAAAAAAACCATCGCATGATAAGTGCAAAAATAACCTTTTTCACCATTTCTTTCTGTGAATAAAATTTTAAAAAATTATCTGTCCTTATCCTCTGGGGATGTGTAATTACCCCCTCTACCCTTTTCTTAGAACCGCCCTTGGTTTTTCGGAATAATTTCATTCAACAGTTATTCTGGAGTAGGTCCTGCCATCTACTGTCGATCTGAAGAAAGTTTATGTACAGAACACTCTAACCATTAAACAGCATCCTATATTAAGCGCAAAATATTATTTCCTCTTTTCGTTCATAGATGTATCTAGCGTTGCTATTAGTTGACTGGTCCCGTCGTCCTTCAAGTGCTCTTTTCCAGAAAATAAGCGTTTTGTGTTCGTAGATTCTTCCGAAAGCAGTGTTCCTTGTCAAATCAGCTGCGCTGGTAGCCTGCTCTGGCCACAATGGAAGTTTGAGGCTTGAATTTGTGTGAATTGTGTGTTGTTTAGTGAAAAGTGTAAGTCAAAATGGATTATAAGAGTGTCGTTTACAATGCGGCTCGCGATGGAAACCTGAATAGGCTGAAGGTAAGTGAGAATTGATTATTTTTGTTTAGTAAGGCAGAGGGACAATGACATCAAATACCGAGTCAAATACAAGTCAAATACCTGAGGTCTCGACCTAGGTAGGTAGGTAAAATACCGAGACCAGAGCACACCAGAGATCCGAGACTTTTCATATCTATTTCATTTTCGCTGATATCGTTGTGATGAAATAATTAATTTTCTGTCCACCGATAGATCTTTGTGGTAAAGATTTAATTACGAAACATGTCAGATTGGAACCTTTGGGAATATCCTCGGGAAATTACTCTATTGTACGTTAAAAAAATACCTAAGTTATTAGGTCCTTAACTTAACTCATAACACCTTATAATGATGATCACCTTCCACCGAGGATTTTTATTTCAATCTCGTGCTCAATAATGATGCTCGTGATTTCATATCTTGGAGGAATATTTCCGAGAATAATTCCTATATTTGTTCAAGTATTATTGATCATGATACTCCAAATATAAAATTAGCAACAAAGTTCAATGTTATGATAAGAAGAATCAATTTGATATTCATTTCTACTTCAGATGATAAATAAATAAGTTCTCAATGATTCAACTCCTGTAAACATCATAGTTAAGGACAGTAATGCTGGGTTTATAGTTTCGATTAAACTAACAATAATTAGAAATTAACAAATAACAATCAACAATTATTAATAATCATGAGGGTGTTTACCGAGGTGTTTACATATCTGATATTAATCAAGAACCAAGTCAAGAATTATATGAGAAATGTCTTTTCGTTTCCACAATTCATGAATCCATAAGAAATAATCCAATTAAATACCTATCACCGAACTCCACTTGAACAATAACAAATCCTCAAACAAATACTATCTTCATGTTCTGTCTCCATAATTTCCTAGTTGGCCAACTTCCCTAATCCCTAATCCAACATGAACATGTCAAACCCTCGGTCAAACTAATAACAAACCAAAAAAAGTTCAATCACGAAACTAATTATACCATAATTTAAGGCTAATTTAAGGCTCTAATCCTAGCCTATCGCCGATTTTTTCTGACATTGTTTAAAAAAAATCATGGGTTTTGCTAGCTTAACCATTGAGCTAGTAAAACCAAATCTCAAATAGATAGAAGGAATATAAAGTATATTGAGTATAGCATAAGTTAAGGCTAATTTCAGGCTCTTTGTTGATTCAATAATCGATATTTTTGGGCTGCATATAATTCGTCAGAACGTATTCTATCAACACCGTATTATATCAAAATATATTCGATCAAAATGGTAATTCAACAGAACCGTAATTGAACGGAGCAGTAATTCATCGGCATGCAAAACATCATAATGTAATCTATCATGTTGTAAAATGAAGGAATGTACTTCATAAGAACGTAAAACATCATACCGTACTTTATAGAAATGGTAATTCATCATAACCGTATTCCATCAGAATGGTATTTCATCAGAATCGTATTCTGACAGAACGGTGAATCAACAAAACCGTATTGAATAAAAGAGACAATTCATCAGAACCGTATTTCGTCGCTTCAGTAATATATCATAATGGTAAATCGTCATGATGGTGAATTATCAGAACTGTAATCCGTCGGAATATTATTTTGTCAGCAGTGTATAGTATCGGTACTGTAAAACATCATAACCGTATTTTAACAGAACTGTAAATCATCAGAACTGTGTTTCGTAAGAACAGTAATTCATCGCTTCCGTATTTCATCAGCATATCAATGTATCATAATCGTATTCTATCAGAACGCTAAATCATCATAACCGTATTTCATCAAAACCGTATTCCATCAGAACCGTATTGTATCAGCACGATATTTCGTCAGAATGGTAATCCATCGTCGGTACAGTGCCCTATCGGGAACGGAGTATCGATTTTCTGTCCGCTTTTCAGGTATGCTATGCGATGGCGCTGGTGAATGCATGTAAGATAAAATAAGTATCTGATCAGAATAACTATTCTAACATGAAATATGTTATTCTGAATGAGATCTCGATAGAATTTCACTCAAGAATCTTTGTAAGCTTCTCAATATAGCTTCTCAATGTGAGATCGTATATTTCTTATATTCTTATTGTCGGTGTTTAATAAGTGTATAGAGAGGCAGTTAGTTTCAACTGCCTGCGTGCGGTATCAATTATCAGGAATTCAGTTGTACCTACGTAAATAAGATTGAAAAAAAAATAACTTATTCAATTTAGAATTTCCTTACACGAGAATATACAGGGTGTCCCAACGAAAACTTTCCACACGGATTTACTGGGAAATGACAAATTATTTTCGGAAACGCTGAAACACGTCGATTTTGATTTCTAGGGGGACACATGTCAGTGATGAATTTAGTAACGCAACTTCATCCCCCTGACAGGGGCGGCTACCCCATTGCGAATCATCATAGGGAACTTGGGTCGAGTGATACTTCATCTTCAAGCTCTCGTCATTCTCTATCCAAACGTTTATATTTTTTCAAAATCGAATGACTGGTAATTGAGATTAGTGTGGTAATAGGTTTAATTTCAATAATCAATATCGTACCTGTTCTTATCGAAATTCAATTTATTAATTGCTCGAAATGAGCCCCTCCTACCTCCATACAATGATAAAGTCTACTTTCGAAACTATTACGAACGTTTGCCAATACTTCTGGAGTTATTCTGCCGCACTCGTTTACAATTCGACCACGTAGTTCCTCTAGTGACTCTGGCGGAGTGGCAAAAACTTTGCTTTTGAGATGCCCCCATAAAAAATAATCCAACGGGTTGAGGTCCGGTGATCTAGCTGGCCACTCAATTGGTCCTCGTCGCCCTATCCAATGATTGGTATATCGTTCATCCAGAAAGTTTCTAACCGCCACTGCATAGTGAGGTGGTGCTCCATCTTGTTGAAAATGGAGGTTGTCTTCCGAATAATCTCCATCGTTTTCGATAATATCCGTTATCATGGGATCGATGGCATTCTCAAGAAGATGTAAATACATTTGTCCATTCAAATTATCATCTACAAAAAGTGGTCCAATAATATTTTTGCCAAAAATACCACACCAAACATTCAACTTCTGCGGAGTTTGTGTGTGGACCTCACGTATTAACCTGGGATTGGTATCGCTCCAGTAGCGGCAATTGTGACGATTCACGTTTCCATTAACAAAAAATGTACTCTCGTCTGAAAAACAAATATTGAAGAGCAAATTGGGATTTGTTCTCAGACGCTCAGACATTTCCTCACAAAACTGTTGACGTCTGTCAAAATCGTCTTCGTTCAGTTCATGTACAAGTTTTAGTTTGTATGGATGGAATCGATGTGACTTGAGAATTCTCTGAATACTCGATCGCGCTACACCTGACGCGTCAGCCAAGCTTCTAATACTTTGAGTAGGATTCATAGCCACGTGCCCCAAAACCGCTATCTCAACAGCCTCGTTCCTTATCAGACGTTCAGGATGATGTTTCTGGTTTCCCACAGATCCAGTTCTTTCGAATTTCTCAATCAACGTTTGAACATAGGTATGAGATGCATTTTTCCCTGGATGCCTTGTATTGAAAATTCTAGCTGCAGCTCTTAGACAATCATCATTTTTGTAGTAAAGTTTCACTAACTCAATTCGTTCTTCTAATGCGTAAACCATTGTCAGGCAGAAACATAACTCACAGAATACGAATCAAATGATATTTCCAGAAGAATCATGCGAACTGTGAATTCATGCTGAGAACATACACGCAGGAGAACCATAAAAAACAGGTATTTTTTGTCTATGAAAAAGTCAACAGAACAAAAACTAAGAAATATGGTTTCCGGGCTTCAGTGCCGTGGTCGGTTCACCTCTGTGGAGGAGGTTCCTTTGGACGTTTCGCTCACAATTGGGGTGGGCATCTTCCGCTTGTGATGTTGTATTCGCGAATAGCGACATAAAACTGATACTTGGTTGAAAGATCTTCGCAATTAATAGTCCCAACCTGGCTACTTACTTTGTTTTGACTAATTTGTTTTCGTTTTTCGTGGGGTGACTGGATTACCTGACCGGATGGGATGTTGCTATTGTCTATCTGTCCACTCATTGAGTCTTAAAATAGTTAATAAATTTAATTTGAATAGGAACAGGTAAGATATTGACTATTTACATTGAACCTGTCAACAACACTAATTTCAATCACCATTCATTCTATTTTGGAAAAATTATGGACGTTTGGATAGAGAATGACGAGAGCTTGAAGATGATGTATCACTCGACCCAAGTTCCCTATGATGATTCGCAATGGGGTAGCCGCCCCTGTCAGGGGGATGAAGTTGCGTGACTAAATTCATCACTGACATGTGTCCCCCTAGAAATCAAAATCGACGTGTTTCAGCGTTTCCGAAAATAATTTGTCATTTCCCAGTAAATCCGGGTGGAAAGTTTTCGTTGGGACACCCTGTATAGAGGAACAAGGTGCTTTCAGAGTCAGAATGAGATGAATCGATAAAAAATTTCATGTGTATACAGGGTGAGTCACAATAATTTGAGCCCGTGACGAATTTCAAGATCATCGGATAAATAACCTAATTTTGAAGTTGAAAGTTCGTATCACCGTATATCCTGAACTCAATCCGTTCTGTGATAAGGTGTCAGGAATTGGATTACGATTTGAAATTTCAATAGGCTATCGACTGCCGAATTAGTTATAGGTAATCATTTATTTAGATTTTTTTGACCCATGGAGTACTTACGGTCGCATATGACCACATTATTCTTCATATCACCATTTTTAGACATCAGAATTATTCAACATTAGTTGAGGCTGTTTACATCACACATATTTCATGAACCTGAACTCTCAAGTTACCGAGATGAATGCGGAAAACTAAATATTTCACATCCCCATTCAGAATAATGATTATATGTCAGTTGTCACTTTGCCCGCAGTGAGATATAAAAAATGGAATCACTTTTTTTGATTAGGTTCAGATAGAATGTTTTATGTTTCTACCTGATTCTTTGTTCATCGTTCGATGACTATTTTCATATTATATCCACACTTCCCAAATTATTTGTTCTTCAACACTTTAACTGTCGAAGTCACACAACCCTTTTGAGTTCTCATGAGCTTGGACAACACCATACACATATTCGTTGCATACGTCAACAATTCAATGTATTTACCCACATCTTGCAAGCAATATCAAGGATATATTTCTTCAGGGGTAGCTGGAACCACACTCAACATGTTGTTTTCAAATGCAACTCTATGGCATGTGACCACTCATTGGAAATCAGGTGGAAAGAGGAATCTAGAGCAAACGGGCAAAAGTTTACATTTTTTCCTTTTGTCGAAGGGATGTCCCTGGAATATGCCTGGGACGTCCTAGGTATATCCTTCCTTCGTACTTGGTACATCCTAGGGACGTACCAGAAGGCGGCCAGCGGATGTCCCTTGGACATCCCTAGTATTTAATCAGGGACGTCCCTGGGAATGTACTATAGTATCAGCGATAGTAATTTCTTTTTGAATAGTATCAACCTTTTTTCTTTAATCGATTCTAACTTTTACGTAAAATTATTCGACGATAAACCTTGAAAATGCTCTTCATTATCGTACTGACAATTTGATTCATATGTATGAAAAATCCTGTAAGACGCTGTGATTTTGTCATTATGACAGCAAAAAAACATTGCTCTGAGTTTTCCAGCAACCTCAACTTGACATTTGAAACCATGACAACCAAAATTATTGTAAACGAATACTTTTTGAGAGCGTTCATGTCAATTTTTCTCAACGATCAACCTTAGTATTCGATGTGGTCCCCTACTACTCTACTACATCGCTGGTTATGTCAACTCCTCGGAATTGGATGCAGGGTGAAATGATGAAGCAAAAATATCAAAATTTGATATTGAATAACTACAGAGATATTTTCGTTGAAATTCTGGCTGGGGGTATTCCAGCTATATCCACTTTTTCTGAATGAAGTTGCCTGATAGTCTACTTTGAAATTTCGACCCATTCAACAAACAATATGAAGTAGGTATTAGACCTTGACAATCTGTTTATATTCCAGATGTCCATATTTTCGAAAACAGCTCGTTGTATACTACATAATGGAATTTTTATTCTGAAGAACATGTTCCAAATTAAAAGGGTGTTGCGAGCTGATTTCGCACATACTGTTGTAGGTTCATGAATGAATCGTAATAATATGTAAGTTGAGAATAAATTAGCTATGTCCAAGAGCCGGCTGCAAATATCGCTGTCATCAGATAATGAAATGATATATGTCCCAAAGTCATGTTGAAACATTATTGTATTTTATCGAACGGCACCTGTGTCAATCACTATCCTGAGCAGAATGATGGAGAAATTGCACTTTCCTGTGCGAAAATTTGCACTCGATTCCACCATTTGATAACAAAATAAGAATTATGACATCTGATCATCCTATCATTCTGCTCAGGATGGTGATTGGCACAGGTGCCGTTCGATGAACTACAATGTTTTCTCAATCCTTCGGGCAGCCAGCTCTCCTTACTATAATGGGATTCATTCTGTGGACGTATAATACAGAATGATATTGAAAGAATGAACCAACGTTATTTTTGTTGATCTTGTAATGATTTTTTTTAATTTTCGCATCTCTTGGACCACACGAAAGGAAATTCCCATAATGTTTTGAGAACATCGTTCGTACCTAGGAAGTACAGAAAGAGGAGGTTGGTGTTGAATTCTTTTTCCAACTTCTGGATAATAAGTTCTTGGGAATACTTCCTTTGGGGATGAATTCCCATGCTTTGTCGTTATATAGACGACGATAATGTCGATAATACTGATAATATCGATGATACCGAAAAAAAAAAACGATTATATTGATTATATCGATTATAGCGATTATATCGATTGTATCGATTATATCAATTATATCGATTATATCGATTATATCGATTATATCGATTATATCGATTATATCGATTATATCGATTATATCGATTATATCGATTATATCGATTATATCGATTATATCGATTATATCGATTATATCGATTATATCGATTATATCGATTATATCGATTATATCGATTATATCGATTATATCGATTATATCGATTATATCGATTATATCGATTATATCGATTATATCGATTATATCGATTATATCGATTATATCGATTATATCGATTATATCGATTATATCGATTATATCGATTATATCGATTATATCGATTATATCGATTATGTCGATTCCCAGTAAACACAAGGACATCCAATGGATGTCCAATGGATATCTTCAACGAACATTATGAATATCCTATGGACGTCCTTCAATGGACAAAGGACGTCCAATGGATATCCCATGGATATCCGTTGTCCACCAACTTGGACGTCCATCGGATATCCATTTTCGATCATATATGTACGTATTCTGTACGTGAATTGTACCACAATGGATGAACATTGGACTTTCAATGGACGTTATCTGGACCTATAATGAATATCCATAGGATATTGATTTATGTACATTTTTTGTACGCAAATTGTACGTACATGGACGAATTCTGGACTTTTATTGGATATTATCTGGATCTCAAATGGATGTTAGTTGGACCAACAACCAACAATAAGACTGATTCAATGTAAAAATATATTCATGACAATATACAAAATGAGTGTGTCCAACAAAAAGCGCGAAAACAAATGATATTATATGAATAAAATTCTCAAAGACCAAAAACTATTGGTCTTCTGATGGTCACTCTTCTCCTTTGCTCTTCTCAGCCATTTCTTTATCATTTCCTCAGTGGCCTATGTATACACTGCAAATAGCTTTTGTCACATGCCCCTACAGAAGAAAATGAAATCAAATATACACCATAAAGAGAATAAGAAACTTCAAAATTTCAGTAACTCAATTCTTCATTAAGAACAAACTTTTGAAAATTATTAGAATTATAAGAGATAGATAGAAGTCCTTACCAACCAGTACTTTGGCTATTCTTAGTTTGTTGAAGACTTTCTTCTTCATCATCCCAAATTAACTATATTCATAGGTATCAGAAAATTAGGAATTCAGAAATCTTCTCACTAAATCCTAGACATTGCTGCCTCCCAGCTTGGACAATTCATTTATCTGATAAAATAAAGCACATTATGAAGTTCAATTTGAAATTTAGAGAGTATCTTGTTGATGAACTTACAGTAGAAATGAAGTTCATCTCGTCCTTTGAATTTCAACATCATTGAGTTGCTCATCATTATTATATATAGGAAAGAAATGGAATATTGAAGACATGGAGATATTCTCATTATCCTTCTCTGTTGCTGAATATTTCATATTCTTGAGTTGTTGCAACTCTTCTAGCATCTGAAATGAATATTTGTCATTAGGTTGGATTATGGACTCATTCCCATTTCATACCATTTTTGTGCAGTTAGCAACAAGAACATGTTGGAATATCTGAAACAAAGAAGATGAAATTGTATGAGTGAATCTAGAGGGCTTGTCAGTCAGCTCTGCTGCTAATGAAACTGCTTTGTCATCCTCTCATGTGGAGTCAGAATCATTACAATGAACAAATTTTTCATTTTCTATGAAGGTAGACGGTAAACTAGTTTGTGATTGTGAACTTTGAAATTGAAAAAATCTACACTGCTTTCTACAGAATTGCTACCAAAATTATCACACAACATACTGTAAACAGACTGGCGAGAGAGCAAAGCAAGACTAGATACACATGCTGTACTCGATTACATGATGCCTGCACGTCTCTTCATGCCCTTTTGTACATTTTGTGCAAAACTATCTTTTTGGCGACCTTCCTCTCCATGCTTACCTGGTGATTATAAGAACACCGTAATGAATCACACAACCAGCTATTAATGTCTATTATTGTCTATACTCTCCAC